AATTAATAAATGATGGCGCTCCATATATACAGATTTTTGTAGACAAAGGATACTGGCCTATGCTGAAATATCAAAGTCTCTGCAGAGCACGACACATGGCCAAAAAGGCTGAGACCAACTGACCTTTGACCCTGACCGACAGTGTAACTTGAGAAGGCACTGTCAATGACTGACTCTGGGGTGTACCTGACCAAACTTGACTTTACAACCTGACAGTGTGAGTGTGAATGTGAGTGTATGTCTGCATGTGATCAGTGCAACTGCATGATTTAAAACATTGACTAATCAAGCATGTTTTTGGACTAACACATTATTCTGGGGCACTGTGGGCAACGAGAGGTTTCCTACAATTCCACAAAAATTGGAAAACTGCACTTGAAGATTCTGTTTCTTTTAGGACTGAAAGATGGAGAGAAACACTTCATTTCACTGAAGTGTTTACTGTGGAAATGATGGATGTACATTTGGGAATTTTTTTTGGTATTTTCTTATAATCCATTATTACCTGAAGGTTTTCTTCCCATACAGGATTTTGGTTACACATGAGTTCATGTGTAAAAAGGGGGAGTGTAAACTTCACAATGTACATTTTTCATTTAGGGACTGAAAGGAACCTGCTGCCCCAACTCGATTGTTCAATCGAGTTGGGGCAGCAGGTTCCTTTCAATCATTAATTGACAGTTTTAGAATTGACCTGCTCCATATCTGGGGATAAGATACTGTTTGATGGATGTTGACATGTCTCTAATATTGATTGAGTTATAACAGGTAACACAGATGCAGAATCAGTGGCCAAGGGGCTACTGTGAGAGATGTAATTCCAGAATGGAATACTGAAGAAGTTGACCTGTGATGATGAAACAATTTTGTAATATTTCAACAGGTATTAAAGTAACTGAGGTTTGAAATGTAGAAAGAACATATTACAGTTAAAGCTAAAACATAGTAATGTAATGAGACAGAATTTTATTTAGAAAACATCATGTAACTAGCCTGGTAAAGAAGTAAAAGCCATAGACTTTATTGTTTAGGTCATTATGGGGATATACATTTCATCTAAATTCATAATAGAAAGACATTTGATGACAGTTTGTTGGAATTCTGTATTCATTTTTTCAGCGGGATAATATCTAAGCACTGACAGGTAGAAGCAGTATCACCAGGAAATCATTCACTTTGTCAGTATCATGATTTTGGTTGTTTTTGAATCCATAACATTAGTGTGTTTCTTTACCAGAAACATTAGCAGTTCATATTATATTTAGATTTTAAATAGGATTTCAAGGATTTCATTTAAGAATAACACAGATGCTTGTCTGAAATTCAGAGCTATTGAAATATGTTATTTAGTTCACCTAAAGATGTTGGGGTTTTGTTTAGTTGGCACAGTCCAAGTATTAAGATTCTGAAGCTGCACTGGCAGATAGGAGGTCTACAATTAATATAGAAAACCTGTTCCCAGACGGCTGTTGTTTTAAGACACCCCACCAACAGGCTTCAAGCGGCCTACGCCGTGGTGGGTCAAACAGCTGAGGGCCCCGGAGCCCTGAGCGTAGGCTTAAGGGATAGGTATCAGATCTCTCCACACAGGTTGGTGACGCCAAAAGGGGGACCTGAGGAGCAGGAAGCCGACACAGCGGAGTTCATCTGGCTGAAGGTCATCAGGCCAAAGTGGCTCAACCTCAGGCTCTCCGGCCTGACCGAGTGACCCAGCGGATCTCTCATGCCGTCCAGCTGGAGCCAGTGTGCGGCGGGGAAACCACCTGCTAGGACCGGGGACGACATCAGGACGGACGTGGCCCTCGCAGAGGAGGTTGACTCGGAAGCAGCCATCAGCAGGCCGGAGGATCGGGAGGACATCTCTAGCGGGCCGGAGGATCGGGAGGACATCTCAGCGGGCCGGAGGAGGAGGATCCTGAAGACATCTCTCTAGCAGGCAGCCCAGAAGCCGCCGTCAGCCGATCGGGGGGACAAAGACACGCACAAGACACAAGACACAAGCCAAGACGGCACAGGGGACTCCACTCTCCGCTGAAACAGGTTGATATAGCCGGTGTGGAGTTTGTTTTAATAACCCATTTTTTGAGGAACTTTGTTTTAATAACCCATTTTTTGACGAACTTTGTTTTAATATCCCATTTTTTGACGAACTTTGTTTTAATAACCCATTTTTTGACGAACTTTGTTTTAATATCCCATTTTTTGAGGAACTTTATTTTAATAACCCATGTTTTGAGGGAGAAGCTGCCCTTCCCCTTCGTACCAAATGCCCTTGTTTGCTTACGCGTCGGAGGAGGACGAGCACGATGACTCAGCCGACAAGGACCATTTTTTAACATATTTTGGTCTCCCTCCACTGTCATAAGAAGTTGTTATGGTGGACTGTTCCTAAAGGTTTAAAGTGCTCTAAATCCTAGCTTCTGATGGATTTATATAAATGTTGGGGAACAGACAGTAGAAAAGAATGACAGTGGTTATGTTTCAAATGCTGTGTATACGTTGATCTCTGAAGGTGAGATCAAAAGGGGGATTAAAGTAAACAGATATTGTTCTAAACTGTATTAAAGTAAATACAGTGAACTGTATTATTTGGGACTGTTTTAAAGTAATCCTATATAAGCCTTCTCACACTTACACTCAATGACCCAGATACCCTGCTACACACACATACACACATACACCTCCTCTCACCAGCACACACACTAGTTCTTTTCAAGGTTCTTTCTGGGGCCAATATAATCTCAAGCACCAATATATCTGTGTACAATGTTTGATACCAATATATCTGTGTACAATGTTTGATTGTTTGGGAAAGAATAGTTTGTGTGAAACCTTCCTTGGGAAATTAAAGGAGTGAACTCAGGTGCAAGAAGGAAGTGAAGTGACTCTCCGCCCCAAATATGTCTATATATACTGTTTATTCATGCAAAATGCCCCCTGTTTCTGACTGGCTGGTCCCGATATCTGTATCGCACAGCAGTAGAGCGGGGAGCCCGGAGTGCTCTGTTACAGGGCACTCTGTATTTCGTATTGTGTTTTTTACCATTAAAATCAGATTATTGTTATAACTTTTATGCCGGTGTTTTGAACTTCTTTTATTAATCTGACCAGGCTCATCAAACGGACGGCGCGGAGCAGAGGTGGGCTTTAAGCCACCACTACTGTGTTTGCTTCTACATTCTTTCGGATTTCCTCCCCATTTTAGTCATTATCCGAAAAGCATCCTACAATTTCTAGAAAAACAATGTGAAACTATTTTACACCACAACCAGCAACTTCAGAATGTCATGTCTACAGCCTGTGGTCAGCATTGTGTTTTCTACATATGTAAAAGAGCGTCGGGGTTGTCTTACGAAAATGTGTTATCTCTGTATCAAGATGATGTGATAAAAAATGATGCTGCTGTAACGAATTTTGTGAAAAAATACCAACGGTGTGAGAGACGTCATAAAGACACTCATTTTAACCAGTGTTTGTTCTCTACAAATGTTTAAAGATTGTTACAAAATGTAGAAAATAAAAAGGTCTGGAGACAAAATTAATTCTGGTGACTCTGTCTTTTATTAGGAAAACTAAAAAAATATATAATACAACTTTAGGGGGTAAAATGTAACCAGCTGGGGCTTAATATTCTATCTTTCCTTATTATTTTCTTCTTAAGAGGGGCACTCGGAGGTTCTTCTGCGGGGTCTGAGGTTCCTGCCACCTCCCAGCTGAGGGTCGTAGGAGATGATTTATTATTTCTTCTTCTTCTTCTTTTTTGGGGAATATTTTCTCGATTTCGTTCCCCCTCTCTGATTATACGATATTGTTCACGAGCGTGTAGGTTTTGAAAAGCTGATAAAGGAATGTTGAGCTCATTCAGACTATTTAAAAAATACCCGCCATCCTTTAGGCTCCAGGGCATTTGTTTTATACGAGCAGGATAAATGTTTAAATACATCTAACATGTGTGAACCTTTTACAGCTGTACCCTTTTCTACAAATTCCCCCGCCGGTGTCCATCCAGCTGTACTCGTGATTAATTTACTCATAATGTACTCTGCATTCTTACTGTAGCTCTTTTCACGACACAGACACAGGTCGGTTCTTTAAAACGGGCGTTTATTTCTTGGGAGTTTTCATCCTGTAGCCTTCCCTCTTCCGTTACGCCGTGAGAACTACAACACCGAAATGACACGCATACATAGCCAAACACATTAGCATATTGTGCTACACATATGAATGAAAACAAGAAAATGAAAACACAAAACAAATACCTCGTTGGCCGCTTGTCGTGAAAGGAGATTAATTTAGTTCCTTTTCTGCATAACTTCGTCACAGACCTCCCGTCACACTAAACTTTATCACAGACCTCAGCAGAGCTTCAAAAAGACGTCAACCCACATGGAGTTGTACAGTGTAACAGCAAAACACGCAGTACCAGCACATGAACAAACATTAGTTCCTAGGCACAAGAAACACATACGCATATTGGCCCAAGATGTAAAACAAACTGTATTAAATCATGCCATATTTAACGATTATAAATAACATGAAATAAAGTATTCATTTATCCAATTGAACTATGACATTAACCGTGTTACTCCTTTTAATTAAGGCAACTTCGTTACGTCATTTACACTCCCACCAAATCACTCATTAACTCAAATGTGGGATTTCGTTCAAACAAAATGCAAAGAAACAGTCAAGTGTTTTCAGTGTGTATGACTATACTCATGTATGGGACTTAAGTGGCCTGAAATAAGGTGACTACCTTATGAATAGGTCTTTCGAGGTAGACTAGTCTAGTGTGTGGTTTTCCTTTATCAAGTGTAGTGTTACTGACTAGTAACTTTAGCTTTCGCACCAAGCCGTCTGTTCCAGGGTGAGTTTCTACAACTCTGGCGAGCTTCCACTCATTTCTTGGTAGGTTGTCGTCTCGCAGAATGACAATGTCATCTACTTGTGAATTTTGTGATGCCTTTGGCCATTTCTGCCGCTGTTGGAGGTTTAGCAGGTATTCTCGTTTCTATCTTCGCCAGAACTCATTGGCTAAGAACTGCACTCTTCTCCATCTCTTGCGCAGATAGAGGTCTTCTTTACAGAACTCTCCAGGAGGGGGCAGAATAACTGATGACTTCATGGTTATTATGTGGTTGGGAGTGAGAAGCTCTGGACCAGTAAGATCGTGGAGGTGTTCAACACTTAACGGCCTGCTGTTAATTATTGCCATTGTTTCGTAAAGGAATGTTCTCAGAGTTGTGGTGTCTAGTCTGCTTGCAGACTTGTCTAACATGACTGTCAGAATGCTTCGAATCGTTCTGATTTGGCGTTCCCAGACTCCTCCCATATGGCTTGCTGAAGGAACATTCATTACAAATTCGCAACCAATTGCTCGTTGACGTTCCTGATCCATTCCTTTGAGCAACTCAGAAAACTCCCTCTTGGCACCAATGAAGTTTGTTCCTTGGTCGCATCGTAATTGGCGCACAGGTCCTCTGATTGCTACCATTGTTCGAAGTGCATTCATGAAGGCATCTGTCATCAAATCGTCTAGCGTCTCTATATGCACCGCTCTGGAGCATAGGCAGGTAAACAACAATCCATATCGTTTTACCTCCTTTCTTCCTTCCTTCACAATAAAGGGACCAAAACAATCTATACCGCAGTAAGTAAACGGAGGGGATGTCTCGGTTCTGTCCTCTGGCAGATCGGCCATTTGTTGAGTCTCTGTGGTTCTTCTGTATTTCCTACATTTTACACACTTGTAGATGTGTGATGAAACTACATTTCCACATCCCAGGATCCATATTCCATTCGCACGTACCTCATTCATTGTCATGCCTCTTCCTTGGTGATGTACACGCTCATGATGATGTTTGACGAGCAAGGCGGACACATGAGCTTTCTTCGGAAGTATTGCAGGATGTTTTATGTCATGATGTAAGGCTGATTGAGATAGCCGTCCTCCCACCCTAAGAACATTGTTCTTGTCCAGGAAGGCATTCAACAGGTGTAGCTTGTTGTGCTTGTTCAAGGTGCTTCCCTTTTGAAGCTGAACTGTTTTAATTTCTTCGGTGAAGGCCTCTTCTTGCACCAGCTTGATAATAAAGATTTCTGCTTCTCTTCTTTCTGCAAGGTTAGTTGCTTCATTAGTTCTTGGCTGAAGTCTCCTGGATTCTCTGACAAATCTCTTGAGTCTTGCGACAGCTCTCACTGTCCTGGACCAGTCAGAAAACTTAGAGAAGCGGTTCAACAGTGAATTTTCTTCCTTAGTTTTGACTGTGTGAACATGAACTTTGCGAAGTTCAGGATCGTCTGTTTCCACTGCTCTCACCTTCTCTTCACATGGAAGGTTCAGCTGGAAAAGAAAGTCAGGTCCTTTTAGCCAGTTAGACTCTTTGAGCTGAACTGCGCTCAGCCCCCTTGAGGCGTAGTCGGCTGGGTTATTTTCAGAGCTAACATGTCGCCATTGTTCAGGGTTGGTGCTAGATCTTATGCGCTGGATACGGTTGGCAACAAACGTGTGGAACCTCTTGGCATCGTTGTTCAAGTAACCAAGGACTACCTTTGAGTCAGTCCAGTAATATTCTTGCAGGTTTTCAATCTCCAGCTCGCGTTTGATGACATCACCATTGCGTACTGAAGTCACAGCTGACGACAACTCAAGTCTTGGAATAGTCGTTAGTTTGGTAGGGGCTACTCTTGCCTTCCCCATGATGAGTGAGCAATTTATCTGACCTGTTTTGCTTATAGCTCTGAGGTAAGAGCATGCACCGTAGCCGTTGGTACTTGCATCTGAAAAGTTGTGCAGTTCATATTGTTTGACCTCGCCAAAGCTTGATGGAAGATAACATCTTGGAATTTTTAGGGTTGCCAAGTGAGATAAACCTCTAAGCCATGACTCCCATTGTGGCAGGATATGAGCAGGGAGAGCTTCGTCCCAGCTCACTCTGTCCCGACATAGAGTCTGAAGGATTTGTTTTCCGAGGAGCACAAAGGGGGCCACAAATCCAAGAGGATCAAAGACAGAGGCAACGGTTGAGAGAACTCCCCTCCTTGTCAGTGGATTTTCCTTAACCACAACTCTGAATTGGAATTCATCTGCTTCAACACACCACTGAACTCCAAGTGCTCGCTCAATATGAAGTTCTCCAAGAGTTAAGTCTAGATCCTTGTTTTTGGCAAGTTCTTCAGGTGGTATTGCGGCAATCACCTCTTTGTCGTTGGATACGAACTTGTGAAGATGAAGATTTCCTGTTCTGCACAAGGCTCTTGACTCTTCAACAAGACAGATGGCTTCAGCCGGTGACCTTACACTTATTAGGCCATCGTCCACATAGAAGCTTCTCTGTATAAACTTGATGGACTCTTCACTGAACTTCCCATGACCCTGGGATGCCAGGTGTTTGAATCCAAAGTTGGAGCAGCCAGGGGATGACGCTGCTCCAAACAGGTGCACTCTCATCCTATATACTGAAGGTTTTGAGTCCAGGTCGCCTTTGTCCCACCAGAGAAACCTTAGGTAGTTTTGGTGTTCCTTTGTGACATGAAATTGGTGGAACATCCGTTCAACATCGCACATTATGGCTACCGGACCCTTTCTAAATCTACATAACACTCCAATGAGCGTGTTTGTCAGGTCGGGACCAGTCAAGAGATGATCGTTTAGAGAGGTTTCTTGGAAACGTGCTGAACAATCAAAAACCACACGGATTTTTCCGGGTTTGTGGGGGTGGTAGACTCCGTGGTGCGGAATGTACCATGATATTTGGTTGTTGAGTTCAGACTCTGGAACCTTCTCAGCATCGCCTCTGGTTATTATGTCATTCATGAAATGAACGTAATCCTTGTAATACTGTTCATTTCTCCTTAGTCGTCTTTCCAATGAGATCAGTCTGTGAACTGCAGATCGTTTATTGTCAGGGAGATGAGGGTTATCCGATTTGAAGGGAAGAGGGAGTTCATAGTGGCCGTCTTCTCTTTGGCGGATACCTTCCTTCACTTTAGACAAGAAGAGAAGGTCCTCCTGAGACACTTGGTTATCATCTGTAGTGTGTTCAGTGAAATCCGACTCGAGAACCTTGAGTATGTCTGTTGGATGGATCTCTTTGACTTGAGTTCTGCACACAAAGTGTACTTCTCTCTTCAGCTGAATTACTGGCTGGACAGCAGGTGTTACTTGTCGCACTACGATTCTGTGACTAGTTCCTATTGTGTCACAGTAATCCTTTGCTGGATTCGAGCAACCGACGATACTCCAGCCAAGATCCGTCCGCTGTGCATATGGATAATTGTCTTTACCGGATAGGATCTCTCTTGGAAGAAGGGCTTGCTGACAGTTATATCCGATTAAAAGACCTACTTCGCAATCCAATGGTGGTGGAATCTTGTCTGCCAACTGTTCCAAATGTGGCCATTTTAGAGCTGTCTCTGAGGTAGGAATGTGTGACCTGTCAACTGGAATGAACTCTCTTGTGAAAAGAGGTGGCAAAGGAATCATTTTTTCCAGGTCGTATCCCCTCACTTGAAGTTCTGTCAGTTTCTGACAGGGTATGACTGTTGACTTTGTTGACATTGTAGATAGCCGCAAACGAACATTTTCTTTGTTTGTGTCAAGATTTTGGGCCACTTCATCTAGAATGAAAGTCGTGTCACTCTGTGTGTCCAAGAGTGCGTAGACAAGAACTTCTTGTTCTGGCTGTTTTGTGGATGAGACCCAGACTGGTATGATTGCGGACGTTTGTGTGCTTGGACCTTCTTGTATGACTCTGTTGGTGGTTGCAGCGATTTCTTTGGTGTCTGTTTTGTCCTTTGAGATGTCGTCTCCATTAAAGGTTGTTGACATTTTGCCTTTGAACTTGTCGTCATGCAAACACGTTGGATGTCTCCTCTGACACTTTTCACATGTGCTTTTGTCATTGCACGCCTTTGACTGATGACCAGTATTCAAACATCCAAAGCATAGCCTTTCTGCATACACAAACTTGATGCGATCTTCAACAGTCTTTTCTACAAACTTTCTACACTTTGGGAGGACGTGTCCTGTTCCTTTGCAGAAGATGCATGTTGGGATGCTACTTTGTGTTGTGTTTGTGGACAGTGTCTTTGCTTGAATAGTTTGGCTTCTTGGATTCTTTGTTTTTTCACTTTCGACACTCCTGATAGCTTGTATCGAGGATATGGGATCACATGCGAGATCTGCTTCCTTTGATATGAAATCTACAAACACTTTGAATGGTGGGTAACCACCATTTGCATGTCTGGCCTCCATTGCTTTTCGGTTCCAGCCGGATACCAACCAATCTGGCAGTTTCATCAATATTTGTTGACTCTCGTTGCAGTCATTCAGTACTTCTAATGTCTTAATGTGGGGCATTGCAGCCTCACAGCTCTTAAGGAAGTCTGCAAATTCTCTTAGTTCGCTGCCATCTTTAGAGCTTATCTTTGGCCATCCATGTAGCTTGTCTCTGAAGGACTTCCCAATAATAAATGGGTCTCCAAAACGTTTTTCTAACAGCTGCCAGGCAGAGTCATATGCTGCTTTGGTGCCTAACAGGAAGAATCCTTCTACTGCTTTCTTTGCAGCACCTCCTATGTACTTTCTAAGGTAATACAGTTTTTCATTCTTTGGAATGTTTTTCCTGTCTATTCAAGTTTCAAAGGATAGTTGCCAGTCTTTGAATTTCAAAGGATCTCCTGTGAATAATGCAGGCTCTGGTGTTGGAAGGTGATTTGCACTTATTGCTTCTGCTAGTATTTTAACCAAGTCAGCACTATTCTGCATCTGAGCTAAGGGCATTGAGGTTGGTAGAGCTTGTTGTACTTGCTGTGGACTGTGGAGACTATAAGCTTGACTTGCAGGTTGTAGAGGTTGAGGTATGAACGGAGGACTTGAAGCATTGATGACTTGTGCTGTTACTGGCTGAGACTGATAAACGAATGGTGGAGTTGTGGAGTACAGAGCTTGGGTTTCTCTAGCTGGTTCAACATCATACAGTGAGTCGATTGCTTCATAATTTTCTTCCATTCGATAGTACACCTTGACTCGAGCTCTTGCGGCTTTCAGCTTTTGAACCTCTTCTAGGCGTTCAAGCTTTCTGCGCTTTTCTTGCATTGCCTGAAGTCTGGCTTGCCTTTTGAACTCAAATTGTGCCATCTGTTTTTTATCTTCAGTCTCCAGCCTTTGAAGTTCTGTTGCTTCCTTTTCTTGTTCACCTAAAACTGCTAGGACTTCCTGAGATGCAGCGGCTTCAGCTGCAGCTTCAAATCTTTTGAGAAGACTAGAATGAGCGGAGCTACACTTTGATCGACAAGACAATGGAGATAATGAAGAGTCAGTTGAGTTTAGAACAGATCCAACATCGGGCCAAGATTCTTCCTTTAAGTCTGCTGTATTCTCTTCAAGCTGTCTCTCTGCCTTTCGAATAATGAATCCTGAGAGTGATATGCATGTATCAACTCTGCGTCGCAGGTTTGGTTCAGGAGTATGTATGAGACGTAACTCTTCATACAAGGCTTTTACATCTGAGCAAGAGCTTTTTATATTTGCAATAAGCTCTCTCAATTCATCCTTGGAGGCGTCATCATTCAGTATTTCTTTGCCTATTCTCACATGGTACCTCCATTTCTCATAGACGATTCTGTAGTGACGTTGTACACTTTTCAACTTTTCAGCTTGGAGTTATTTTCCTTTTTCTGTTAGTGTTCGATTTCTTTCACCTCTTCGTAGCTCTTCCACTTCTTCTGCCAACTCTGTTTCTGTTGTTTCAAGTTGAGCAGATGATTTGGCATTTTTGTGGCAGGTCTCAGTCCCTGCTTCTGACATTTTGAGATGACTTAATAACTTATAACCGACTGTAATAGAGCATGTGTAACTACTAAGCTTGAATTGGATCTCTGAATGTATACATAAGTAATCAGTGAGGTTATCAAATGTATGCACTCATTAACAAGTTTAACTTGACCTCAGCTTTACAACAAAATAACAATAACAAGAATAAGATTTAGCTCGTTACTAATACACCTTAAATGTAGTGAAATATGCTTAGAAAGGCATTACATCACTTATACTTTACAAAGAAAATGTTTTTGTCAGTGGAATGACCCTTTAAAGCTCAAGTAAATTGTCCTTTAAGTGTAATACCTTTCATAAAATGTGAAAACGTTCTTCTTTTTTAACTTGAACTTATAAATAATATATTCTTTCTTTAATATTAACTTATAATTTCTTTACTTTCTTATATGATTAATTTTCGTCTTTAAACCCTTTGACATGTACCATTCATGAACACCAACACATTAGCTTCATCACCAGCATAGGCTTAGCATAGATGATAGACCTGAGTCCTTATTTGCAATTTCCAGATTAACCACTTCTCACACCACCTTTAACTTGAAGGATGTGGTAGAGCACTTCCTGGCTTTATCCTGAAATGTTGCGACTTTGACACAGTCTAATTACCGTAGCTTGCGGTCATCATGCCGACAGTGCACCGCTGGCGTTGCTTCTCTGATGTGCTGGATGGTCCTTGAACGCAGCGTCGTCTCTCGCTCCAGTCTCGCTGTCTTTCCCACCCGCGCTGAGCAGGCGAGTTCTCACTGTAGCTCTTTTCACGACACAGACACAGGTCGGTTCTTTAAAACGGGCGTTTATTTCTTGGGAGTTTTCATCCTGTAGCCTTCCCTCTTCCGTTACGCCGTGAGAACTACAACACCGAAATGACACGCATACATAGCCAAACACATTAGCATATTGTGCTACACATATGAATGAAAACAAGAAAATGAAAACACAAAACAAATACCTCGTTGGCCGCTTGTCGTGAAAGGAGATTAATTTAGTTCCTTTTCTGCATAACTTCGTCACAGACCTCCCGTCACACTAAACTTTATCACAGACCTCAGCAGAGCTTCAAAAAGACGTCAACCCACATGGAGTTGTACAGTGTAACAGCAAAACACGCAGTACCAGCACATGAACAAACATTAGTTCCTAGGCACAAGAAACACATACGCATATCGGCCCAAGATGTAAAACAAACTGTATTAAATCATGCCATATTTAACGATTATAAATAACATGAAATAAAGTATTCATTCATCCAATTGAACTATGACATTAACCGTGTTACTCCTTTTAATTAAGGCAACTTCGTTACGTCATTTACACTTACGGTAACGCGTAGGGAGGTTTTGAAGTACCTCGTTCTTTATTTTATCAACGGACATGCCATCCTTTTCTTCTCCTTTTAACAGCCCCGTGTCTTCAGGTAGAGTTAAAGTAATATGTCGTTCCTCCTCCCCGTCTTGTTTGAGTAAGGTGAGATATCGCTGTAGCAAGGTGTTGTATTTTCTTATTTTTTCATAAGGGGGTAACCCTGTTTCGTTTAGCACTGCTCTCATTTTTTCATCCAGAACATCTTCGGCAGTGCGTATCATTGTTTCCTTACTATGGGGGTTAGTCACACCCGTCTGATTGAGTTGATTAAACTAGTGAGGTGATAACAAAAACATCTTTTGACTCATGATCGAATGAGCCCTCCTAAAAGTTGACCTAAAATGGGGATCACCGCACCAAGCAGAGGCAGAAGAAAACCTCCAGATTGCTTTCTTAAGGCCTTCAATTTAGTTTTTAAGTTGGTCTTTTTATTGGCCAAGAGTTTGAAAATGTTCTTTTGTTTCTTGAGTTTCTTATACTGAGCGCCTGATAGTGGAATGTTACCCTTTAAAAGATTTAAAGACAGCTCACAGAGTGATTGAAGAAAATCCGTGGAGCAGTTCTTGAGAATATCCTTGCGCTTCGAGGGCTTCAAGGCCTTCACAAGGCCTTCAGCAGAGGCATGTTTCTTTTTAAACGGGCCGACATACTGTTTCAAGTTTTCGTTTTTGGTACATAAACAACTGGCCACTGATTAGGTAGTGCTCCCGATCTAAGTCTGTAGATGTCTGGACAGCTGGGGGTCATGTCTACGATTAAATAACCGTGAGGTTCCTTGGTGGCATCTTCAAAACTTTGTAGGAAAAATGATTTATTACCAGGGTGTATTTGTTGAGCAAGTATGTTCATTTGTAATCTGTCTCTAAACTACTCCTGATGAAAAACATTTTGTGTTAACATCATAACACTCATATTTCTATGATGACGGTATTGGGTGAAAAGTCTGACTACTTCAGGATGCTCAGAGGCCTGAAATATAAGTCCAATATAATCAAATGACTTTGATCAGGAGGAAATAGAGATTCATCTTGAAAGGATTCAGGCAAATCTTTGATGAATTTCATATTTGTATTCTTTTCCTGCAGTTCAGCATACATGGGCTGGAAAGAAGTATAAATCCACACAATATTTTGAGACTGTACATCCATTACATGAATACAATTTTGCAATACATTCTTGACAAAAAAAGTTTTTCCACACCCACTGGGGCCAACTACTAAACAAGAAAAAGGAACACGTAGTCTGGGCTCAAAATCAATTTGACTGGGTGAAAACATTTAGTCTCTTCTTATTTATTTCTCAATACCCAAAAGGCAAAGTATTTCCTCCGTCTAGCAGACGTCTCTTATCAAACACAACTCGGAACTTTTTGGTGAATGACACATTTCTCAAAACGAAACCCTCTTTATTCCGTACAATGTTGTGTTGCGGGGCCTCAATTACCCTCCCCCTCTCAGAGTTTTGAACGTAGCCTTCCACCAGATCGGTCAGACTGTCAAAGTTCACTCGCTCACAACATTCGTGCGTTTGTATAATGCCTTTCACACGCATCATAACCTTTTTTGTATTTTTGATCTGGTAAGCATAACTTTTAAGGCCTGCTGAAGCAAACTCCTCGATCGTGTCACCCCCCAGTTAATCTGTCAGATCCCCCAGATAAACCCCCATGGGCAGTGGAGTCTCACCTTGTCTTGTCAAATAGATGATGCTATCTGTGTCGTAGTAGAAGACTCTGTGCTGTAATTTCTCCAATTCACTGTACAGTTTCAGCCTGGCATACGCAGTGGTAAATGCGGCAACGAATATGTTATCTACCTTGTTGGGAGGAGAGTAGCATTTTTCTCTGAAACACCACTGAACAAGAGCCGTTCTGTCGTTGAGGAATGAGAAATACTTAACCTTATGTTTAGCTGAAAACAAGAGGTTAAGAAATTCTTCTGTTTTGGTCACAATCTTAGTCTGAGTCAGATTGCTTCTCTGGGCAAATTTACCCCAGAAACTGTTGAGACATAGTTTTGACACTTGTCTTTTGGCTGGATTTGATTTGATTTTATCTGCATCCAGCAAGATCCCCTACTTTTGTCTGCTCTCATCATCTGTGGCCTCTGAAGGATAACCTGATGCTTCCTGTTTACCCTTAAAAAATGTGTGTATATAGTCTACAAAAATGCTGTCACTTTTCTTCTCAAAACGCCTGACTCAGCTTGTAACCCATATCCAGGGCTTTGGTGAATTCTGTGGTCACCCATACTCCTGTTAATGCTCTTTCCTCTTTGCTGTGCATGCATGGCCCCTGTTGGTTGTTAAGGTCAGCGCATGTATGGCAGAGGGTGAACACTAGCTTACCCGCTGCAGTTCGGTAGGGCAGGACTGGAAAGTAAAGACCCCTGGGAGGGTCTACTGTGGCTCTGATTAACCCAAAATAACTCTGAGGGTCTTTGAAATATCGGAATATGATCTGAGGGTGTCCAAGTGGATATAGGCCTGTGCAGTTTACAAAAGGGTAGAGTGAGTTGAAATCACAATAATGAACCAATTCATCTGCCGCTGCTGTGTGCCTCAACTTTACTGCACATGTCCTTCCCTCGTATAGAGCATCGCGGGGGGTCAGTGGTTCTGGAGCTTTGAAATCCTTAAGGAAAGCCTGCAAATCTTGATTGGATTTTTTCATCTCACCCCATGTGTACGCATAACGATCACTTTGGCCCCATGAACAGACTGTAGCTCATGCAGCTTTTCCTCACTAGCAGCATGGAGCTGCTCAAACGTGCCACCTGTCAGGGTTTTTTTCTCATGGCCCTTATAGCAAGATGGGCACCCGTGATAGAAGCAGCCAAGAAATTCCCAAACAATCTTTCCCCCGGCAACTTCAGCAAACCCGTCTACGACAAAACGTCCCACTCGTTTCTCTCTTTCAATCAACGCATGTTGAATAAATACACCTTCAGTTTGCACTACCCACTCCAGCCATTGAATACCTGCGTCTGAGTACGTCTTGTTTTCACGGCGGTAGTCGTCGGGTGGGGGGATTGCTAGGGTTTTGGGCGATAGAAAGTTTGTGGTAAAAACTTTCATACAGGCAGAAGCTATGGTCGCACGACTAAAAGAATCAACTCCTGTCTCTCCGAGAAACCCTTTTCGAAATAAAGTGGCCCCCTGGACAAGAATGTCCACATAGGTTTTACAGTAAAGCAGTGCCTGCTTTCGAAAATCAAAAGTACCCTTGCGTACCATCTCATACCAGGTGAAGAAGTCACTCTTTTCATCAGTTGTCATGCGTTCAACCCCATAACAATGTGCTGGAGGGTAAGGTCCGATATAACTCAGATTGGCCTTAGAGCTGAAACCGTGAGGGAAGTACCCCTTGATTTTATCTTCAAATCCCAAAGCTTTTGGCATTGCTGCTAAACGCATAGAGAGATAAGACAGTGAGTCTATGTACTTTTGCCCGAAATCCTTGTCAGTAAAAGAGACCACTTTACTTCCCTGCATTATCAAAGAGGGCTTTAGCCCTTGTTCGATCATTGCGTTGATAATGAGATAGCTGTCAAAACCCTTAGCATTGTGAGCCATGAAGGTTGCATTTTTTAACTTTGGGCGCCTAAAGTGTGCCAAAAACTGCAGTGCACAGTCGGTTCCCTCTGCGACCCAAATTTCACCCTCAAGGGTGTTTGTGCACACCAGGAAGGGGACATGTACACCATCTGCCCCCGCCATTGTTTCAAAATCATAAAACACAATGTTGTCATTGTGTTCTGTCTCTTTGGGCAACACTCCGATGTAACACAGATGTTTTTCACACTCGCGTGTAGAAGTAGAGGGTAATTTTTCCTTGCATGTCTTACATTTTTTCACCGCACACTTGTGTGTTTTATCTGCACTACTCTTGGGGATATAGTAAGAAAGTTGGCAATCTACACACTTTTTGTGTAAATCGCAGTTACTGGCAATGTCTGCTGATCTCTGTGTCTGCTCTTTATGTCGAGAATGACAGCCGACTGTACGGCACGTTTTGTTACAGTCTTTACAAAAGATGGGTTTAAACTCTTCCAGAGTACATGAGGGGTCAAGGCAGACAAAACAATGACCAGTACAGGAATGACTCCATTGAGAGCTGTAGCCTGTGTAACAATGTTCACAGACATATGCAGAGCCTAAAAACCCCTTCAAGTTTTTAATCCCATAGTAATGGTTTTGGAAGAGGAACAAAAACACAGTTTTGTCTCGTTTGGGACCGTCTGTCTGGAATTTACAGTGGGCACGATCATCATCGCCTCGGTAAAAAAACACAATCTTGCATTTTAAACTCTCTTCGAATTTATCAATGTCGTTGAATGTCACAGCTGTATGATCCGTCAAACCCACCCCCCTCTGAATCTCTTTACCACGTTCAAAACCTTCATTATCAGTGAGGTTGTCATGCAACAACAGTGCTAAATTAATAGCAAAACACAGCTGGTTGGACGGGTTATGTACAACGTAAATAAAACGCCTCTTCTTTTTAACGATCTCATTGTCCAACATTTTACTAGCCAATCGTCTCGCTCCACCCCCTCCACGGGGGGACTGAACAATTTGAACCACTAACTCAAGGTTGCTGTCTGCCATTACCTCCAGATTTGACTGCACTGCATTGAACAGGGCCTCCTCAAAATCATTCAGATTATCACCGGGGGCATTTAAAATGGCTAACACGTTACCCCGTAGCTGCTCACCCTGTAGCTCAATCTGTACAATATCTTCCCTCTCTGCCCATACGAAAGCATATGCAAGCATATTATACACATTGTTCATCAGAACCCCATAATAGGCTGTACAGTCTGCTTCATCGTTAGGAGGAGTTAGGACTAGAGACTGGCGCATTTCTGTGTTAT